ACAACACACACACACCAACACACACACCACCACCAACACACATACACACACACCACTACCAACACACACACACCAACACACACACACACACACCGCTACCAACACATACACACCAACACACACACACCAACACACATACACCACTATAACACACACACACCAACACACACCCCACCAACACACACACACACCACTACCAACACACACACACACCAACACACACCACTACCAACACACACACCACTACCAACACACACACCACTACCAACACACACACCAACACACACACCAACACACACCACTACCAACACATACACACCAACACATACATACACACCAACACACACACACACCACTACCAACACACATGCACCAACACACACCACTACCAACACACACACACCAACACACACCCCACCAACACACACCACTACCAACACACACGCACCACCAACACACACACACCACTACCAACACACACACACACCACTACCAACACACACACCAACACACACGCACCACCAACACACACACACACACACACACACCAACACACACCACTATCAACACATACACACCAACACATACATACACACCAACACACACACACACCACTACCAACACACATGCACCACCACCAACACACACACACCAACACACACACACACACCACTACCAACACACACCTACACACACCACTACCAACACACCAACACACAAACCACTACCAACACACACACACACACCACTACCAACACACACACACACCACCACTACCAACACACACACCACCATTACCAACACACCAACATACACACACACCACTACCAACACACACACACACACACACCACTACTACCAACACACACACACACACACACCACCACTACCAACACATACACACCAACACACACCAACACACACACACCACCAACATACACACCACCACCACACACCACCACTACCAACACACACACACACACCAACACACACCACCACTACCAGCACATAAACACCAACACACACACCACCAACACACACACACACATCACCAACACACACACACCACCAGTACCAACACACCAACACACACACCACCAATACACACACACCACCAACACACACCACCAACACACACACCACCACTACCAACACACATACACACATGCCACCAACACACACCACTACCAACACATACATACCAACACACACACACACACACACCACCAACAACACACATACACCAACACACACACACCAACACGCATACACCACCACCACTTCTGTGGGCCGCTTCCAGGAGCGCCTGCCCAAGGAGCCCCGAGTTTCAGCCCGTCTTTGGGGACTTTGCGGCCGAGAAGAAGAGCCAGTTGGATCTGCTGCGCGTCATGACAGCACAAAGCCTCAGCTGGACGTGAGGAGGGCCACCAGTAAGCGGATGAGGGAGGACGACCCGGAGGAGGCCGCCAAGAGCAGAAAAATGAGCCAGAAGGGCAAGAGAAAGGGGGCGTGGCAGAGTCCTGGGGGTAAGAGGAAAGGGGGCCAGCCCAGCCAGGAAGGAAAGAGCAGAGGGGGTTCTTGGGGGGCAGGATGAATTCCAGGCCACCAGGCTTGGAGGGAAAGAAGAAAGGAAGGTGGCCGCCCCAAGAGGAAAGAGAAGGAAGTAATCATTTCACTGGGGTTCCGCTGATCATCAAGAACTATACGCTAACCCTAAGTTCCAGTTAAAATAACAGAATGCAGAAGCAAGTGCAACTGTTGTCACTGAGCTTAAATTAGAGACAGGGTTGCCATCCCTCAAGAGACTTGAAGTGTCGGGACTCTACAAATGAATGTGCTCCCTTCAACCGCGGCTTTGGCCCTTATTTATCATTTGCGGAAAGAATGTAAGAATTTGATGGAAAGTGGGGATGGGTGTCTTCATGAACAGCCTGCCTTTTCCTTCCTAACTCGGTCTGGGTGAGGGAGAAGTTGGCCTTTTGTCAGAGATTTAACATTGATTATACATCCGTGCGTTATTTCTACAGCAAGCTGGTGTGTTCATCAGAGGAAAAGTTACAAACGTTTCCAAAAACTGGACTTTAACGTTACTATGGTAAAGGTTATTCAATAAAGCTAGCTCTGTGTAAAAAAAGTGCTGAAAAACTCAGCTTATACATGAGTATATATATGGTAGGAGCATTCTAGCAAGAAGGGGCAACATCAAACACACAACAATTCATCAAAGAATCGAGTGAAGCACCTAGCAGGTGACAAAGTGCTCAGTGCTATGAAATCAGGAGAAGACAGCAAGTTAAGGGGACTGGGAGGGTGGGGGACAGGTGAGAAGCGGAAAAGAGTCCGTCACAGCTGTGCTTCACCTGGGAAGGGATATGTTGACGTGCCCCAGATCACTGGATCCCTAGAAATGTCAGTGAGGCACCCGGTGACTTTCCTTGCTGTTAAATCAAGTTTACTTATCTAAAAACTGCCCATTGTGAATTGCGTGAGTGTGGACAGCAGGTCAGGTTTCCACGTGATTCTTACACAACAATCATTGCCACAATGCCTGCAACCCGACACGGCTTATCCCACCTCTCCTCCGTGTTTCCGATTCCTATTCCCCCTTCTTTCTGGACTTTGTCCCTGGTGCCCCCTTGATCTTGATCCTTGGTTTGTTCGAAGGTGTGGCGCCCCCTTACAGACCCACCTGCTGTTGGGCTGGACACTGAGCAACGGGGTGAGTTCCTTCTCAGGCCGAGGCGAGACCGAGGGCCATGGTTGTTAGCAGAGCACTGAGCCTTTTCTTTCCTTTTCATACGCTGAGCTCTGCTCTACTCGTCCTCCACTCCCTCCAGGGCCTTCTGACGGGACCCCTTTTGGAACTGTCGGGAGTGGTAGCTGGGCGCCATCATCTCGTTCATCCGGTCTCAGGGTCACCGAGACTGGTGTTCACAAGACCCACCACTTCCATAGCAGGGAGCAAGTCAGCTTGCTGTTCCAGAGGGAGACAGGACCTCATCCCTCTTGGTCGCTCTCTGCAAGCCCGACCCCGAGAATGGCCCAGGTAAGGCAGTCAGCGTCGCACGCCACTTGGCAGGAGACCCATGGAGGGAGGGATGTCTTCCCAAATATCAACTATCCGGACAGTATCAGCACAAAAAACACTGCTCTTTTTCCCCAACAGTTTGATTGGCGTGTAATTCACCTATCACACAATTCAATAGTTCAAACACGTCAAGAAGAGTTGTACAGCCATCGCTACGATCAGTTTTAGAACATTTTCTGGATTCTTGTCCTCATTGTTATTAGCTCCCTATTTCCCCCCCAACCTCCCAGGCCACACCCACAAGGAATCGTTAACTCAGTTACTATCAGATTGACCTATCTTGGATTTCACATACAGAAAAACATTAAAAACAAAACAAAAACCTAACAACAATGAAGTAAAACAGATAAAAATCTCAATGGAAAAGAAATCAGAAAATATTAAAAACTAGAACACGTTTCAGTGGATCCTCAGGGAGATCAAATGAAGGGGTGCTGAATTTTAGTCTAACTGCATCTGCAAGAATCCACTTTCCAAGCCATCCTGCATGGCAGCAAGGCTGTCTGCATCCCTGGCCCAGGGTCAGGGGCCATTCACCTCGACTTTTTAAACGAGGCTTCTTTTCTACACTGTGGGGCATATGGATTTTGCTAGCACATCTAGAGAGGTTGCTGGTCCCTGTTCACGGGACCCTTCTGATGACTAGGAATGTGTCAGGGCCTGAATGGAAAGACGATCCTGGAACACGGTTGCTGCAGTGCTGAAACAGGAGCGTGAGGCATCTCATGGGCCCACCAGCTGAAAGCAGACTGCTCCGGGTGGCCTTTACTAGACAGTAGAGACCGGCTGACACCCAGCCGCCTTCTCATCTTACGAATGCCACCGATGACCCATCAGGCTCATAAAAAGTGAGTCTTCTCTTCCTGGTAATATGACTGCCCTTGGGCAAAAACCTCCCACGTGATTTTTAGCAATGGAACACCGGTAGTCAGACGGGGTGCCTTCGAGGGAGCACGGGGAAGGCATACAGGAATCCTAACACTGGTGTGCATGCACACGGACACCTGCTTTTGACCCCGTCAGCTCAGGAGGCCTCGCTATGCGTCTTGGCTGAGGGTACATGCACTATACAGCAGAGGGTAATGATATAATTAGAAAGCAGCACACAGAACAACAGCTGAGGAAGAGGAAGGGTGGAGTGGGGAGTGAGATGAGGTCAGGAGGCGTGATAGGTAGGTTTTAGGTCAACGTTTGAGTGGGGCAGGGCTCTCCCACGATAGGATCTAACACAGTGTGGTCAACTCCATGATGTTCTCCTCTGAGAAGTGGCCAAGTAATTCATCTGGTCACCATCCTGATACAATTGAGGGAGGTTTCCTTCAGGGTGGGGGCCTATTTTGAGTATAGACTGAGAGAGTGCAGAAGCTAGTTTACTCACGTCTACTGCTGGATGGGGATCCGACGTCGGGGTCTGAGACCTCCTGTCAATCCCAGGAGCCATCAGTGGACTGCTGCGTGGATTCATTCACTCTGTCTCTGATTCATTCAGCCATGTTCTTCCTCCTCCATCTTCCTGCTCATCAGCCCCTGCTACGGGAGGAGCCAGAAGCTCACAGCGGACACCTGATCCTCAGATTTGGACTGGACTGACCCAGTTCTACCACTGGGGGAGCCATTTCTTGGTATAAATCTCTTTCTCTCAATGAGCATGACGGGATCTGCTTCCCCAGAAACCCCAGCCTGACCCAGAAGGTCGAAGGGGGGTGGGGCAGACGCTGCGGGCTTTACTCTTGGAGATCTACTGCAGGGCTTTGAGCAGAGGAGTGGCTTTATTGGACTTCCGTTCCGTTGCGGTTTCTGGACTAAGAATAATACAAAGGGGCCCGTTAGGTCCCTGAACAAATCCAGGCAAGACAGGATGGCGGTGAGAGGTAGCTGCGTTCTGCATCTATTTTGAAGCCAACAGGATCCTCTGAGAGTTGGTATGCAGGATGTTAACAAGGGAAGTTGCTGATGGCTGTTTTTGCCCTGGGCAGCTGATCGCACCAAGTAAGTACCAGTGCTGCTGGCCACCTTCTCTGTGGCGAGGGCCTTCTCTGGGCCCTGGGCTGTAAGAAAAACATGGTGCAGGGTCTCAAGGGTCTGGCTGCCCAGAGCTGATTCCAAGTCACCAAGACTGGTTCACAGGACAGGAGACAACTGCCCCACATGCTTTCCAAGGTGTGAATCTTTAGATTTCGCTCCAGCTGGCTGTGGGTTCAAACTGCCAACCTTTTGGTTACTGGTCAAGCACTTCAACTACTGGGCCACCTGGCTTCTGTGGCCACAGGTGTGTCGACTTGCCCGAGGCTGCAGAGAAGAAGGCAGCCAGGTGAAGCAGATTCTTAAAGAATGAATAAAACTTCTCCCAATCAGGAAGGCAAAGGCAAAAGCCAAGAGGAACGATAAACTCAGAACTTTGGGCCTGGAGACTTGCTCCCAGGCTCCTGCCAGTGGGCTGCAGCTGGCGGGGTGGCAGTGTGTGATGTGGGGCCGAGTCAGAAAGAGCGGCGTGTAGTTTATCCTGACACGATCAGACCCAGTTCAGAGGGCCTGGAGGTGGGTGGCACGGAGGCACAGACAAGAGCCCCCCAACAGTGAACCTAGAGGATGAGAGAGGAGGAGGGCAGGGCTGAGCCACAGGCCTGACAGGGTACTGTAGGGAGAGCACAGCCATGAGACTTCTAGGGAGCTTCCGTTCCAAATAGGAACCGTGGGAGGAAGAAAGCAGTGGTTCTGCACCTTCCTAAGGCCGCGACCCTTTCGTACAGCTCCTCATGTGGTGGTGACCCCCGAACCATAAAATTATTTCCGTTGTTACTTCATCACTGTCATTTTGCTACTGTTCTGAATCGGGTGACCCCTGTGAAAGGGTTGTTGGACCCCAAAGGGGTCACAACCCCCAGGTTGAGGGCTGCAGTTAGGAGGACAGGAGGGATCCCTTTGGGATGTGTTCCGTTGCAGATCCTGGATGCGCAGCAGGGTGGGGTCTGGAACTTAAGGGGGAGTTCTGGGTGGGAGAGGAGCATGTGGGAGTCATCAGTGATGGTGCCGCGTCAGGAATGGAGGCGAGGCTGTAGGCTGGACTCCAGAATCACAGAGGGCAGAGGCGTGGAGGTGAGCCAAGGAGTGTTTACAGGAGCGAGTGCTGATGGAGCAGCTGTTTCTCGGGGGTGCTCACCCACCTTACCTCGTTTCTCCAAAGTACCTGACCCCCGCCCCCACCAGGCAGCTGTCTGGCTGAGGAGACTGTCAGCTCGTGGGCAGACATAGAAACAGGAAAGCAGTTAATAGGGAAGCCCAGGTTTTTTATGGGACCTCTTGGACTAAGATGACTTAAATTTAGTCTTGAATGCTTCCAGCCTCCCCACCCTCCTTTTAAAGTCTTCTGGGCTTGAACGGAGACACACGGCGCTTAAGGAATTGTTGGAGATCTTTCGGAGAGAGGGGAGAGGGGAGACCAAGGTGAAGCTCATCTAAGAGAGAGACAATGGAACACAGCAGGCTGCTTGTGGGTAACATCAAGCACCAAGACCAAATTCCAGCTTCTCGTGTGTGGGAACAATGGCACTTCCTTTATTGTGCAGACCAGGCTGAAGGGAGTTTCTGAGAGTCGCCACAGCAACCTTCTATATGGTCTAGAAATCTAGAAATAGCCATCAGTCCATCCATCCGCCCACCAGGAGCCTGTTGGTAGTCTGGGAGACGGTGCTAGCCGGTGAATCACGGGGCGGCAAACCAAGCCCGGCGCTGGGCTGACTTCGGTCCCTTCCTAGCTATCCAATCCAGGCCTCTCTGGGTCTCGTCTGTGAGATGGGAGCAACAGACCCCACCTCACCGGCTGGCAGGAATGAAAGAGGTCATGCCAGCAGCTGGCTCACAGCTCAGTACACGCTAGGGCAGGCCTGGCAATCAGATGCACCGTTGGGGAGGAAGTGGTATGCACACGGTTCACAGACCACCAAGTACACGCGGCTGGTGAGTGGGATGTTCTGCACATGAGACAGCAGAGGCTGCGGGAAGCAGTTCTCCAGTGCTCCGTTAGCAGGGATGTAAACACTGGTTTGCTTTAGAAAGCAAGTGGTGGTATGTAGAAAATACTAACTGAACCTGTTGACTCAGCATTCTTCTACTAAAAAGAATTTTATTTGACTGGCAAGTGAGGAAGGCGCCCGATGGTATAGCATAGTGGCTAAGAACCAGGCTGTTCACAGAAAGGTCAGCAACTGCTCTGTCTACTCCTACACAGGCTTACAGTCCCAGAAACCCGGGGGGATGGGGGTGGGGGGAACAGTTCTACCTCAACCTAGAGCAGTGGTTCTCAGTCTGTGGGTTGCGACCCCTTTGGGGGTCAAACGACCCTTTCACAGGAGTCACCCGATTCATAACAGTAGCAAAATGACAGTGATGAAGTAGCAACGAAAATAATTTTATGGTTGGGGGGGTCACCACACACGAGGAACTGTATGAAAGGGTGGCGGTATGAGGAAGGTTGAGAACCGCTGACCGAGCATGTCCTGAAGCATCAGGATCCGACTAAGCAGTGTTGTTTCCGAGGGTGCCCACACACCTCTGTTTCTGCAGCAGTGTTTTCAGAGTGTCTCCTATCTGATGTCAGCATGGCCCTGACTGAAATGGAGGAGCCGCTGGGGGACTGAGGGCCGGGCTCGGCGCTGGGCTGGGGTCTGAAAGTACCAGATCCCCTGTGGATAAAGGGAAGGCTGGCTGCTCCGGTAAAGACTGGAGGGGCGAAACCCCTGGGGCAGCGCTGCTCTGTCCCACCATGTTGCTGTGAGTCAGAGGGGACTGCGCAGCAGTGGGAAGGAACGGAAAGCTCTGGGGGGCACGGGTCCGTGCACCCGGCTGTAGGTAAAGGGCGGGGATGGAACCCACCAGACACTCCCCGGCAGAAAGACATGGCAGCTGTGGAACCCTCTGGGGTGGCTGCACCCTGCCCTATCAGATGGTCATCACTTGCTGCCCGTAGACCTCTGCTTTCTCACACAGCTATGGAGCGGACGGCGCTGCCTTCACGGAACCCCGCGCCTTTGCTGCCCCCCGTTGACCAGACAACGTCCACCTCAGTCTGTGACCTGCAGCTCCTGAGTCAGGAACGTCAGACTCCACCATGTCTATGCCTCATTAGAGGGCAACGAGCCCAGGTGGTGCAGTGGTCACACACTGGCTGCAATCTGCCTGGTCAGTAGTTCGAAACCCCCAGCAGCTCCTCGAGAGAGAGAGCCGGGAACAAACCCCCCGGGTCGTTGAGTCAGCACTGACTCGAAGGCAGCGTTACTTGAGGAAGGAGTCACTTGTTACAAGATCATGACCAAACGCTGTCTAATGAGCAGGGGTGAGGTCAGTGTCAGGAGGTCTGAGCGCCTGCAGGGGGAAAAAAAGACTGCCTGTGTGTGGTGGAGGCCCGGGAAGCCAGTGGTTGGCAGAAGGAAAACTCGGTGACAAAGGGGGGAAAGAGCAGCTAGAGGGACGGCGAGGACCGCTGGTGCGGTGGTTGGGGGTTGGGCTGTGTACCATGAGCTCAGCTGTTAAAGACAGGGCTTGCTCCTCCCGAAGAGTCTCGGAAACTCATGGGCTCTTCTGCCATCAACCTGCAATGGCAGGGTCTTAGTTTGGTAAGAAAGGTGAGAGATTGTAGGAAGAGTCAGGGAGGTCAAGGTCCAGAGGGAATACACGATCCCTATCCCACTGGCTTCCTGGGCGAAGCCCGACTCCAGAGCCACTGAAGGGCCCCAGTCTGCGGGACAGCAGTCTGGACTTCCAGGGCGAAAGAGGCTGAGATGCGAGGGCTGCTCTCATCTGATCCAACTTTTATTAAAAACCGCTTTCCCTGCCAATCACACTTTGGTCTTGGTTTAGTTGTGGAAGCTCAGGACAGCTATTGAATGGATACCTTTAAACATGCTTGGCAGATTTCAAACTGAGCACTGTTGCTGCTAAGCTTGTACAAAGTACAGATACTGAAATTGGTTTTGAAGGGTTTACGATTTATAATTCGGTCAATACCTGACAACTTTCTTCGGGCTCCCTTCTCAAAGGACACTGACAGAAGAGCGAGCTGCAGGAAGAGCCACCGCTTGCATGCATGCATGCCGGGAAGAAACACGTTTCCTTTGAGCACCCTGTTAGAGAGCAGAGTTCTGTTTCCCGACCACCCAGAGGAGGAAGTCCAATCCAGTAAGAAGAGAAAGACGTGTTACAAAATAGACATATAAAATTTAATGCCTTTGGCTTCAAATACATCTTCAACGACACAATTACAAATAACACGCAAGACAAAATCAATTTCATAAAACAAAATATAAAATATTGTTATATGACCCGTGTCCCATGACATATTAGAAAACCAGCAATTTAGTTCACATACTTCATTAGAATATCTTAACATAATAGCTATCAGTCCCACGTATACAAATGACCTATTCTAATTCCCTGAAACCTAAACATACCCGTGAATTTAGTTGTGTGACAGACTTAGGTTTGTAGTGTTTCGATAGTTAAACACATGTACAAAACATTCCCCTGCCATAGGAACATGTTCTCAGAAATTCATGAAGGCTTTTTTAGGGGTTTGTCCACAGAGAAGAGGATCGAGGCACACGGGCTCGGACACGTGGCAAATGAAAACCTTCCTGCGGGAGATGGGGAGGACCCAGGCTGGGGTCTCACTTGGCTGACAGTCACTGCAGTGCAGCTGGGTCGGGGTGTTGGCTTGCTCGACAGGCACATCTGACGTCATACAAGCACACATGACACGCGCCGACTGCAGGAGTGCTCTTCCTGTACTTTGCGTGTTCAACAATGCAAAAACCCAAAGGAACACGCCCTCGGTCGCAGACAGACTCGTCTGAGGAGGTTCGTCTGAGGAGGTTCGCTAGGCCGCCTGTGTCTGGGGACGCGGAGGCCCTGCTCTCTGAGTTCCAGAGCCAGAGTGTGATCTGCGTGGTGCACGTTAACACAAATAACTTAACCTTGTGTCTGGGGGGAAGCGTGAAAGGTAGATCTCACTGATGTCTCTGCTGTATGTATATATTATATATTTATATCAGGCATCTATGTACACATTTACAGACACAGACCTTCAGGAAGATATTGCACGTATATACAACGCAGCTTTTTCTGTACTGCTCTCCGACTGTAACCATCTCGGTTCTTCACAGGAGAGGCTGCCGGAATGTCGGAGAACATTGCAGAGGGGAGATTTCGGTAGCCTGCCTGGTTTCAAGAAATGTACAGGAGGGTGGGAGGTGAAGGGAGAAGAGGGGCTTATCCCTTTACTCTTCGGGTTTCGCCCCCTGTAACCTGGGGCTGGCAGAGTGGCGTTCAGGCCGCAGCCCAGCCCCTCCACGGTAGCCTCCGCCTTGTCAGACTTCCTGCAGCCCCCCAAACTAGAGAGACCCCAGAGAACCTCCTCTCAGATGGATTACATCTTGGACAAAGTATTTTCACTTTTCATCATAAATATCTGTACCCAAAAGCTCAGGCCTAGTGATGTGTGGATTTCTGTCTTCTGAAAATGCCAACGCAACACACGCAATGCCAAACAATGCAGCGTCTCAACGCAAAAGGAGCACCTTCCACTGTCACCTGTCACCCACGGAGGAGGGGGCTGTCGGCGAACAGATGAAAAGGTGGACGGGACCCCTTCGCCCAGCCCCTGGGAGCGTGGGCAGGCGGCCCTCTAGATCTCGGTGAGGGTGAGCTTGTAGGACCCTCCTGCCTCCTCCACCTGCAGCTGGAAGGTGTCTTCGTTGGAGTAGTGCTGCACGATGTTGTCGTCCATGTTCACCAGGATCCTGACAAGGGGGGACAGGGACAGGGGCGGGGTGACTGCAGGCTCCAGAGCCAGGCCAGGGGCTACTCACATCACCCCGAGCCTCCGTCTCCTCCCCTCTCAGTTGGGGCAATCACAGTGCTGGTCTCACAAGGTGATGGGAGCGTTTAGCGATGGGAGCAGGTGAAATGTCAACACCTGGAGAGCAGAACGGGTGGCAGCCGAAGGCAGAGCTAAAGCCCAGCTACAACCACGGGTGTGACCAGAAATAGGACTCTAACTGCTGAGCATTGCTTCTTTGTCTTCTGACACGTGTGTACATGCACACACATCTACACACCAGCTATCCGTGCTCTTACATATGTGTATACATACACACACATCTATACACCAGCCATCTGTGCTTTCTGACGTGTGTACACACACACACACACACACACACACATACATACACCAATCATCTGTGTTTTCTCCCCTCCCTCATTATAAAATATACAATGAAAACATGGCTCATGCATTTGGGTTGTACGCATGTTAGATACGCCATGCTAGAAGCAACTCTGACTCATTAATTGTACGTATTTATAGGTTATTTGTCACTTCAGGAGGTGTGTACAGTGTCAGGCTGACAAGGGGTGGGTGGTGAAGCTTACAGTGACGTGTCAACTTGTCTGGGCTCTATGGTCCTCGGGGACTTGGCTGTGACCTGATGGAGCAGCTAATCAGCTGGAGGTGGAGTCTCCTGGGGGGTGGGGCCAGCTTAAAAAGCTCTCGTTTTCCTATAAAGCCATTTTTAAAAGCACCGATTTCTTCATCTGTCCTGTATGGCAGTAATACTGCTGATGGGGTGGCCAAGTGAAGGAATTGAGCAGCATTACGAGCATGAGGCACGTGGCAGACAGGACCCCTGGCTGATTGGCCTTTCTCGTCTCTAATATGCAGCCATCGCTCCATCAACGGTGACCATGTGAGCAATCTACAGCAGGAGCACTGCATGGTCCCTGCTTCAGAAATCAGTTTGATCTCATTAACCTGCGACGTGCTCTGAGGCAACAGGCCCCAACAAATGACCTCCGCTGGAGAATCCAGAGAAGCCACCTAGAAAGTCCAACGCTTCCCGACTTTTGAAAACCCCAATTACAACTTGTAGAATTCCCCCAATATAATGCTTATCTTGTTTCTCAAACATCATATACCATTAAGTAACCAAAAACACCAAAAAACCCCAAACTCACCGCCATCAACTGGCTCTAACTCCTAGTGACCGTACGTGCCAGGGTAGAACTGCCTCTGCGAGTCCCCAAGACTGGCACTCTTCACAGGAGTGCAGAGCCTGGCTGGTGGCTTCAAACCGCTGACCTGAGGTTAGCAGCCCGGCCTGTAGCCATGACACCACGCCAACCACAGGGCTCCCACTCATGTAAGTCAACAAACCCAAAACAGTCATTTCTGGACACAGCGGTGATGCTAAGCACCTCACAAGCATGATTTTGGTCAGGACAGTAAGCAGACTTCCACCAGGCACATGCTGCCTGACATGGGCTGTCTGCACGCTGCCTGTGCCACTTCCTCTATCAGCTGCCACTGGTAGGACCAGCCTGGAGGGGCACGTGGAAACCCAGGGAGCAGCCTGTAAAGCACCAGATCCAGAGCTGACTCGGGGTGGGCCTTCAGGAGCCAAGAGGGGCCTGAGCACATGCCAGAGAGAGCACTGGATCTGGGGCCCTCACAGCTGCCCAGCATGGGAGAACACACACAATTTTCATTCAGGGGGCTGGGAGTGGGGAAGAGCCACGAGATGTCTTAGAATGACTGGTCAGTTTTAGGTGGGTAATGTAAAGAGAAACACACATGTCCCAGCATCAATCCTCCTGTACCTGCTTCCGGACTGGGCACGGATGGGCACATGTGAGTAACACTGGCTCTGAAGGCTTCAGTCGTGGTCGAAGCAGCAAACCCAGGCGAGACTGGGATTTGAGGAATGTGGGCAAATGGGCACAGGACTGGAATGGGAGACTTACAGGAGGCTTCAAGGCAGTGAGTGATGTAGTTCTTCTAGCCAGTCTCTGTGACTGCCACCAAACAGCCTTGTCCTGATCAGCCATGAGAGTCAGACACTGACAGGGCTTCCCAGGAAGAACCAGGAGCGGAGTGTGCTCTCTGGACCCTGTGCTCCGTCTACTCCTTGATCCAGAAGGTAGCTTGACACCAAAGGAGTGGCAAGCAGCAGGGAGCCCAGAGCACAAGAGCCTACACAGCAAGTAACGCTGGTGCTTGGGGCAGGGGGCTGGCTTGTGGAGTCGGGTCCTCTGGCACTTAATTCAGGAAGCTGGGTGCTTTCAGTGGAAGGCTAACAGCAGTGTGTCATGTCCCCTGGGAGCTTATGAGAAGCCCTGAAGGAACTCTGCCGTGTGTCCTAACTGAACAACTCTATCCTGAGCATTTCCATCTCAGGTTTCCATCCCTCAGAAACCTCCTGATGGTGAACCCCGTCTGTGGTTTCCGGTGGTCACAGCAATGACGTGGAGAATCTAGATGAGACGTAGTGCTGTGGGGGCCGAGCAGATGAAAGCCCAGGATGGTGTGGGGGACAGACAGGCAGGTGTAGTGAACCCTTTCAGGAGCCTGGTGTGGCAGCGAGGGACACAAACTCTGAGCCAAACATCGTGGCTTCCCAGCCTCTCGGCCAAGAGTTGGTTGCTCTGCAGTGTGCACGCCGTCCCGGGAGGGAGAGCCCATTTCTAGCAGAAACCCTATCAACTTTCCCGTGCCAGGTGGCTGGCATGGTGAACGTGACAAGAGGCGCTCTTAGAGGCACACAAACGCCGAGACACACTTACCCCTTTTTGCATTTCTTGAATATCTTCCCGATCTTGTCGTGGGGAACGTCGTACTTGTCTGAGATCTAAAGGCAAGGAGAAAAGTCACCATGAAACGCCGCTTTCGTGACTTTGAAGCATCTGAGGCTCAGTCAAAAAGTGCCGCCACCAGGGTTCCTGTTCACACACACATAGGAGTCTACTGCAGACAAAACACGTCTGGGCAGACAGTGCGGCAAGTCCTCTGGGTGACGCCGGCCTGGCCCGTCTGGGGATACAGACGCCTTCAACAAGGCTGCATCAGAGAGGTCAGCTCAGGTGACGCCACTGTCTGGGGACCCCAAAGGTGTGATCCTGATGGGTCTTCTCAAGGGACACCGGATGAAGACGGGCTTCGTGTGAAGCCGTTTTCAGAACAGTGCACACGACGTCGGTGAGAAAGGGGCCAGCAGGGCTGAGGGAGGACAGTTATGCGCCGCCACCACCGAGGCCGCCTGCGCCCCGCCCCTCCGTCAAGGGCTGGCTGGCCGGCCCACGAGAACTTCTCCGGACAACTGTACTCCACCTGCCTGCAGCCCTGCTCTTGTCCCTGTCGGCCTTTCTGCTCCCTAAACTCAAAGAACACTCAAGAGGGACACCATTTGGGTCCCCGGAGGACGCCAAAGCTGAGCTTTTCCTGTGGATCCGAGGGAGAGTGCCCCACGCTGTGGCAGAAAGGGCAGGAAGATGGAAGTCCGGCCTCACAGGGACACAGGCGCAGGGGGCGGCTGAGTGGATAACAAGAGCCTTTACCATCTGACATCCTTGTTTCACAAACAGCTCAGTGCCAGCGAGCCGGTCGGACACCCAGCCCCCCGCAAGGCAGAGCCGAGCTGCTCCTGTGGGTTTCCAAGGCAGTACGATTCTTCTCAGCAGCTACACGTGATCCTGCCTGAACCACATTTCAGAGAACGGTCACTACTATCTTCTTGTTTCCAATGAATGAATGAACGATTCCAGAATAAAACCGTGGGCTCAGTGCACAACAAAGTCCTCGATGGAACACTTTATGTGTGGAAACAACTGGAGAGCCAAGCGCAGAGCGGCACTAACTCACGGCCCAGAGGGCCAGTTCTCACGTCCTCTCCAGTCCAACAGGCACACACCCTGCCCACCCCACCTCAGCTCCGTGTGCTATTCTGAAAGCCCACTTCTCGTCTCTACATTCACCAGGAGGGGACTTCAACAAGTCCCGGGGACACTCCGTTACCTTCCAGTTCCGCTTCCTTTCAAAAGAATACTTTCGATCGTTACAAAGAAAACCCCAGCCCGAGAGCTTGAAGACCCTGTTTGGCTTGTGGAGTCTCCATATTTTCCACGCTCTCTGCCGTGGTCAGAAATGAGGAAGGTCATGAGCAGAGAAACTGGGGAAAGCCCAGGTGCAGACATGGAGGGCGCGTGGGGCCACTGGGTGGAGGGACCTGGGGGATGGGCACACCATGAGGGGTACCAGCAGCAGCTATAGGGTCGCTGCCTCTGTCAGGCACCTTGTGACTCTTGAGCCCAAGGCAGGGCCAGACACACAAGGCTCTCACGAGAATCTGTTAGATGACCTCCACACAGCTGCAAGTGAAGGGGTCACAGGGAACAGGTCCCGGCCTGACAATCCACACTCAGAGGCTCCTAGGACAGAGAGAGGCTGAGAGAACAGCAACGGCAAATGGCTAAGTAATTAGCCGCGAACCAACAGGGTGAGGGCTTGAATCCAGCAGCCTGGGAGCCTGAAGGCGCAGTGAATGGGGTCGAGACACGACCAGCACACAGCAACACAGGGCGAAGGCGGATCAAGACTGACACCGCTGACCACGCCTGCTTGGGAGCAAGGTCAGACAGGCCGTCAGCACAGGACCCAAAGGCGCTTCAGTCTGCAGCGTGAACGGCCACCATGAGTCAGGACCCACCTGACGGCCCCTAACACAACCTTCTTCTCATGCTGTTATGGCACCGATGTCCCAGAGGGACTGCTGACCCTTGCCAAGGTCCACTGGCCGCACCTCTGCGGTGTTCTGCTAAGCCTCGGGCAGGTCCTGACACAGCTTAGTAATCTCCATGGGTCGCTGTCTCAAAGCAAGGCCTGGGAGCCACTGAACTGGGTGATGTCTCAAAGTTTTTATTTTATTGAACAATAAATTCTGCTAGTTTTTCAATAGTTTCCCAAATGGCAATCCCACGCAGGCCAAGAATATAAACCGAAAGACAGAACCACAGTAACAAAAACCCAAACTCGCCAGGAGGAGAGTCCAGGGAAACCGAGAAAGAGCTGGGAGCAAAGGGCATTTACAGAGGTCTAGATAAAGACATGTACATATGCAAATATATGTATATATGAGGATGGGGAAATAGAT